GTTTTACATAAACCTCCTCTAAATCTCCATTGAGATATGTTGTTTTTACATCCATTTGTTGCAATTCAAGGTCAAAATGGGCTACTAATGCCAAAATAATGCGTAGAGAATCTTTTTAGATGTCGGAGAGAAGGTCTCCATGTAATCAATTCCCTCATTTTGAGTGAATTCCATAGCAAGAAGTCTTACCTTGTATCTCTCGATGTTGCTTAGCGAGTCTTCCTTAATCTTAAAGACCTATTTACAACCAATACCTTTGGCACTACTAAACAAATCAACAAGATCCCAGACTCCACCACTCTTCATGGAACTCATCTTTTCCTTCATGGCATTGTACCATAATTCTGACTCTTTGCAACTCATGGCTTATGAAAATGACTCGGGATCATTTTCGACTCCAATATTGTAGTTAGGTTCTTGTAGGTACACTTTCATAATCACTCAAAGACCTTTTTATTCTAGTAGATCATCTTAATATTGTATCATTATCTTTCTAAGAAGTTTGTTGTCAAATTGTTTGTTCAGGGGTTCTGGTAATTCCCGAACTACCGGATCTACTTGAATGTTGTTAGCAGCTTGTGAAATTTCAATGATTGATTGTTCAAAACGTATTTATACTTGAGGAGTGTTTTAAATTATGACCGGACTTTCAATTGAGGTGGAAGGTCGAGATTCTAAATATTCATGCTCAAGAATTTTGAACCTGGTTTGATTGTTCCCACTTATCACGTCATTCACAAGAAACTTGGTGTTTCTTGATTCCACAATCGTAGTGCTGTGAGATGGACACTAAAATTTGTACCCTTTAGACCTTTCGACATATCCAAACCACTAATGGTCCTTGGGTCTAGCTTCTTCTCTTGTGGGCTGTAAATTCTCACTTCAGACGGGCATCCCCAAACACGTATATGCCTCAAGCTCGGTTTCCAACCTTTGAATAACTCAAAAGGTGTCTTTGAGACAGACAGTCCTTGGGTCTAGCTTCTTCTCTTGTGGATCATAGATCCTTACTTCAGACGAACATCCCCAAACACGCATATGTCGCAAACTTGATTTCCAACCTTTCAATCATTTAAATGGCGTCTTTGGGACAGCCTTGGTTGAAACTCAATTTAATATATATACATTGTCATCTTAAGTGCTTTAGTCTACAAGGGTTTAGGAATATTGGAGTTACTAAGCATACTTCTCACCATGTCCAATAATGTTCAATTTCTTCTTTTGCCACACCATTCTGGTCTGGTGAACCAACATAGTGTATTTGACAACTATCTCATACTCTTGAAGAAACTTAGTGAACGAACCAGGTGCTTATCCATCATCTATGTATCTATCGTAATATTATCTACCCCTATCTGATCTCACAATCTTAATCTACTTTCCGCATTGTTTCTCTACTTTAGCCTTAAAGGTTTTAAAGTCATCCAATGCTCTGTTGTTATTATGAAGCAAGTAGAGATACATATATCGTAAGTAATCATCAATAAAAGTGATGAATTTTTAGCATGTGAGTCCATATCTGGACTACATATATAGTATGTATGATTTCTAATATGCCTGAACTCTTATTGGTACTTTTCTTGGATTTGTTGGTTTGCTTTCCTTTAATAGTCTCCCCATGTGAGTTCATCTTGTTTCCGGATAAGATATTTTGTTTACTTCCCACTGGTTTCCTTAGGTTTTGCGTACCTTACACGAAGCTTGCAATATGGATTGTAAATCCAAAGTCAATCTACCCAATGTTAATATTTACACTAACCATGTTAGGTTCATAACAAACAAACGAGATGGATTGCCTCTATCTTCAAGTTATTTCTTGAATTTAGCACAATCTTTCTTCATTTGTCCCTTCTTTTTTATAGAAGTAATACTTGGTTTCTTTCTTGATATCAGCTTGCGGTGATATTTTACCTTTCACTTTCTAATGGACTTGAACATTCTCCTTTCCACAGGCTGTGGTCAATATTACACGTTCACCTTGTTTCATCACTGGCTTTCCTTCTTCTTGAACACACAGTCATTAATTTATTAATTAATCATTTATCTTTATGTGTTGTACAAGATTTTGAAAAGTATGTACTGTTGTTGGGGAGTGTTAAGGAAGTAGTGCACAATGAAGGATTCGGACATCTCAACCTCGAGTTTCTTAAGTTGAACCCTATTGTCTCTCATCTACATGATGTGCTCGCGCACACCTTTCACACGGTGAGCCTTAAGGATGAGAATTTCATTATTAAGGATGCCACCCACCCAATGACTCCAATTCAATTTTTTCCCAAACCTTAAAAATCATTCACACTCTATTTTACCTATTTCCTTCTTCTCTCTTCTCACTCTTTCTAACAACCCCCACCATTCATGGCGTAGTCGCCCATCTCTAATCAGACGACACCAATCTCCTCCCTTTCTACCAGAAGCGCAGCCTTACACCACCATCAGAGATAGCATAGCGAAGCCTCGCATTACCACCCATCTCTGCCGACGATGTCGCTCTCCTCCATCGAAGTGGCACTACAGCCACGCGCATATTTCCCTTCATTCGTCGACAACGCAAGGGCCACTGCTCAAAACTAGTGCAGAAGGTGTTATGTCGTCACTCGCAACGGTCTTCGTTGCAAGTAACTTGCAACGGTGTTGTGCCGCCATGTTTGTGATTAGTATCGATCTGTGGATGAGCAACCGCTATGTTCTGTGATTTGTTTTATTTTGATTGCTAGCATAAACGATGGTTGTCGTGGTTTTGAGATTTTTTTTAGTGTGAAAGATGGCGATCACACTAGATTTGGTTGGTTTTTGGAGTGGTAGTGGTGATTTCCATGATTTTGCGATTGCGATGGATCTGGCTATGGTAGTGGTGATGGTCGTGACGATGGTGCGCAGGTTGTGGTAGTGGGATGGGATGGGCTGTTTGTGACAAATTATTTGGTTGATTGTGATCAATAAATTGGTTAGTTTGTGTCAAATAAATAATATGTGACCTAAAAAAAATAATCGTGACTTACATTTTATTAAGTTGTGACTAATAAATTTTTTGTGACTATGAAATAAGTTATGACTCATAAAATTTGTAATTTGTGACCAATTAATTTCTTTAATTTGTGATCGAAACCTATAAAATTTATTGTTTATAACTATGGCTTTTGTAATTGTAACTAATACATAACTGTGACCATAAATTATATAATATTGTCACAGTAATATATTTAATTAATAAAATATATTTCTAATTAATTATTTAATAAATAAAATTTAAAATTAATATCTGATTTTTGAAAATGTAAACTTTATTTCTTACATTTGAAATAGGTCGTATTTAATGTTTTCTTAATAAAATTTCTCCATTGCCCAATAAATATGACCCAATAAGCAACATGCAACTTACAAAAATACCCATAAAATTAGGGGCATTTTGAACAACCATATAAAAGTATTTTGAAAGTAAAAAATATTTTGTAAAATTAAGTGTCACTTTTTCTATTATAAAGTGACATTGTGTCACTTTTTAAAGTTAAGTATCATTTTTTTAAATTAAAAAATGACATTAAATGTTACTTATATTAAAAATTAATATTTATCACCAAAAAAAGTTATAGAAATTTTAAGAAAATGACAGGAAAAAAAGTGACAAATACTAAAAAAAAAGTGATAAATACTAAAAAAAAAAAAGTGATAGAAATTTTTTCCTAAAAAA